GGCCCCGAATATATTTGTATAATGTTATCATATCCCCTCTCAGGCGACGTTTTTCTAAACTAAATAGGTTTAAATTTGTTAACCTTTCTTCATAGCCGATATGTTCCATTCCTTTTATTAATTTTGTAGCCCGCCTCTGCACTTTTTCTAGTGCCATAATATCCTTCTTTAGAACAGGTGCCCAAAATTGCACAGCATATTCAATATGGGTCTTACCAGTGATTTATAAAGAGGCAAAATTATATTCTTGTCCCGAGAATGAATGCCCTTTTTCATGCATGACAATACCTTACTGGCCTTGGCCACTGCTGATTGACATGCACATTGTTGCATAGTTTGTTGTCTATAACAATTCCCAAGTCCTTTTCATGTGTTGTTATCCCTAATTCGCTTCCATTAAGGGTATACGTTGCTTGTGTATTCTTTACGCCGAAGTGCATAACTTTGCATTTTCAACATTAAATTTCATCTGCCATTTGAGTGCCCAGTCCCCCAGTCTATCTAAATCCCTCTGCAGCAAAGTAATATCTTGCTCACATTGTATTGTTTTACAAAGTTTGGTGTCATCTGCAAACACTGAAACATGACTTTCAATGCGGTCTTCAAGATCATTTATAAACATGTTAAATAGAAGGGGTCCCAGAACAGACCCCTGAGGGACACCACTTGCCACCTCTGTCCAGCTTGAAAATTTACCATTAATGACAACTCTTTGTACTCTGTTTTAAAGCCAATGTTCTACCCAAGAACAAGCATTTTCATCTAGACCGATTTCCTTGAGTTTGAACACTTATCTATTGTGTGGAACTGTATCAAATGCCTTGGCAAAATCCAAATAGATCACATCCACTGCAACACCCTGATCTATACTTCTACTTACTTCTTCGTAGAACGCAATCAAGTTAGTTTGACATGACCTGTGCTTCATAAAACCATGCTGATTTTTGCTGATAACCATGTTCTTCTCAAGGAATTCTTGAATATTATCCCTTAATAACCTTTCAAATATTTTACCAGCCACAGAAGTTAAGCTCACAGGTCTATAATTTCCAGGCAAGGATTTTGAACCCTTTTTGAATATAGGAACCACATCTGCCTTCCTCCAATCCTCCGGAACACTTCCTGAAAGAAAAGAATCTTGAAAGATTAAAAACAGAGGTTCACTTATTTCTGCACTTAGTTCCTTAAGTACACGTGGATGGATACCATCAGGCCCTGGAGCTTTGTTTATATTAACTTTCTTTAGTTGCTGCAGCACCTTGTCTTGAGTTAACCAATTACAAATATTCTGCAAGTTTTTAGGAGCAATCATTTGCACATCTATTGCCATGGGTTCTTCCTTAATATATACGGAGGAGAAATTGTTATTTAAAATTCCTGCCTTTTCCTGGTCTTCATTAATTAACACCCCCGTTTCAGTTTTTAGTGTACCTACACTTTCATTTTGGGGTTTTTTAGAATTTATGTACTTAAAAAATGCTTTGGGGTTAGTTTTGCTCTCTTCAGCTATCATTATTTCATTTTGAAGTTTAGCAAGTCTAATTGCCTTTTTGCACGCATTATTTGCATCTTTATATCTTTTATAAGATGCATCTGATTTGTCCGATTTAAATGCTTTAAATGCCCTTCTCTTAGTTGTAATCTCTTGTTTTACTTCTCTACTAAGCCACATTGGTTTTAATTTGTTTCTTTTATATTTATTTCCCAACGGTACATACTGAGAAATGTACCTTTGTAATATTTGTTGGAAGATGATCCATTTATCCTCAGTGTTCTTTTCACTAAAGAGTTTATGCCAGTCAATATATTGTAAAGCTTCCCTTAACTTATTGAAATTGGCCTTTTTAAAATTATATGTTTTAGTATTCCCCATGTGCTTTTGTTTTTTTGAGTTTATTTCAAAGGACACTATATTGTGATCACTATTTCCCAAGTGCTCACCTACTTGAATGTTGGTCAAAAGATCAACGTTGTTTGTTAAAACCAGGTCCAGACAAGCATCCATTCTAGTTGGTGCTTGCACAAGTTGTGACATGAAGGTGTCATTTAACAAGTTTAAAAACCTAATTCCCTTTGCTGAGGCACTAGTCCCTCTGTCCCAATTTATATCCGGGTAATTAAAATCTCCAATAATTAAAGTGTTACCCAGATTTGCAGCTTTCTCAATTTGCTCAAACAGCTGTTGTTCCTCGTCAATATTAACATTAGGTGGTTTATAACATATCCCAACCAATAGTTGGTTTCCCTTCTTTTCCCCCAAGCAGATATTTACCCATAAAGCTTCCACATTATCCTCCTCGCATTCCATTTGCTTAACATTTGGCTTTAAATCATGTTTGACATACAAACATACCCCACCACCCTTCTTGTTTTTCCTATCCTTCCTAAATAACATGTACCCATTTAAGTTAGCTGCCCAGTCATGTGTCTCATCCCACCATGTTTCAGTTATGCCTATTATATCATATTGTTTAGTGTATGCTAATGCCTCTAGTTCCCCCATTTTGTTATTTAGGCTCCTTGCATTAGTAAGCATACATTTAATATTATGCGTCACTTGTATATTTTGTGAATTTTCAACATTACACAGCTTCTCTGTTCTGAGCTTGCCCCTCCCCCCGTTTCCACCCCCCTTATACTGTGCTAAAGCCCATCTCATTTCTATCCTATCTCCATTTTGTAGATTGCTATGACCCTCCCCCCCTACTACTAGTTTAAAATCTCCTCCAACCTTCTAGCCATCCTATAAGTGCAGAGCTAGACGAACCGATCGAGACACACGGGGTAGCATGGGCTCTCAAAACGGCCAAGACGGGCAAGAGCCCCGGACCGGACGGCCTACCAGCACGCTACTACAAAACCTTTGCGGAACTCCTCGTCCCACGCCTCACGACGGCACTCAATGCGATCCGAGACGGGCAGATATTCCCGACACAGACCTTGGCGGCTAACATCACCCTAATTCCTAAAGAAGGGAAAGATCCTGAACAATGTGCAAACTATCGCCCCATCTCACTGTTAAATAGCGACTTGAAGCTTTTTACGAAGATACTCGCACAGAGACTGCAGGCCCACCTCCCGAACTTGATACATAAGGACCAGGTGGGATTTACCCCGCACCGAGAAGCGCGCGATAACACAATCAGAGCACTTTCCCTGATCCACCTCGCAAAAACCAGACAGGAAGGCCTTCTCCTGCTCTCCACGGACGCGGAGAAGGCCTTCGACAGGATTGCATGGGACTTCATGTTCCAGGTCCTCGACAAACTGGGGATGGGGCCTCACATGATGTCCTGGATCAGGGCTTTGTACTCACAACCAACAGCACGGATCTGCATAAATGGAGCCTTCACAGACCCGTTCGTGATCAGGAATGGAACCAGACAGGGCTGCCCCCTCTCCCCCCTGCTCTTTGTGCTAGCCCTGGAACCATTCCTGAACTCGATTCGAAACAACCCGGATATTCCGGGATTGGAGACAGGAGGGGGGAAACACGCAGTGGCAGCATATGCGGACGACCTACTGTTCTTCGTAACTAAGCCGGAAACATCCATGCCCACGATAATGAAGGAATTCGAACAGTACGGGGAGCTCTCAAACTTTAAAATCAATTTTTCCAAATCCACGATCCTCAATGTCTCCATCTCGGGTTCCAGAGCGACGGCCCTCAAACGAGCGCTGCCATTCCAATGGTCCGCCACCTCCCTAAAATACCTTGGCGCGGTGCTAACAAACGACCTCGCCCAACTGTACGCAGCGAACTTCCAACCACTCCTGACCACTATACAGAAGGACCTGCAGGAATGGGACCAGGTGCGCCTCTCATGGTTTGGAAGAGTGGGAGTGCTTAAGATGAACATCCTACCGAGGGTCCTCTACCTATTTCAAGCTATCCCCACGACCATACCGGAGGAATTTTTTACCTCCCTTAGATCGATGGCCCTCCGGTTCACCTGGCAGAGACAAAAGGCTAGGATACAACACGACGTGCTCACACTACCGAAAGCCAAGGGAGGCCTAGCTCTGCCAGATTTTAAGAGATACCATAGAGCCACACACATCCAAAGGATAATGGAGTGGTCTAAACAGGGAGTGGAGAAACTCTGGAAAGATGTAGAGTCTTCCCTGATGTAGAGTCTTCCCAACAAAGCAGACAGCTAGCTGCTCCACACCCCCTAATCAAAGCGACCGTGCGGGTCTGGCAAGCTCTGGCAGTACCACTCTCGCTCACCTCCACGCCATCCCCAATGATGCCTCTAATCCATAATGAGGTCTTCCCGCCAGGAAGGGAACCAAGAACGCTGGTCCAGCTGCTGGGACAAGACATACCGAGGCTCTTCCACGCCATAGACGACGGCCGCCTCAAATCACTAGAGGCCATGACGGGGAACTCCGATCACCCATTCATGCTCCAATTCAGATACCGACAACTGAAAGGGCTCATACAAGAAACCACCCGAAACAATCACACTCTCAGACCCTTAACAACGTTTGAAGAGATATGCATGGACCCGGACCCGCTGCCGAGGGGCCTATCAACGCTCTATGGAATGATCATGCGGTTGAGGAGGCTGCCACCCCCAAGCTACATGGGGAAATGGGAAACAGTTTTAGGCACTACATTCACACCCAACCAATGGGACAAAATTTGCACCCTCTCACTACACTGCGCACCATCCAGTTGAATGCAAGAAACAGCATACAAAATACTGGCCCTTTGGTACCGCACCCCACTCCACACACACCTATACGACCCCACGAAGGACGACGTATGCTGGAGGTGCAACACGCACAAGGGAACATACCTCCACATATGGTGGGAATGCCCAATCATCCAACCATACTGGTCAACCATTCACACGATCATCAAAAGATTCACAGACTCCCCACCATCCATGAACCCCGCAACATTCCTCATCCATCACACCAAGACGAAAGCATCAACATATAAAAAATCCTTAACAATTCGGATACTTAATGTAGCCAAAAGCCTAATCCCCCTCTACTGGAAAAAACAATGTGCGCCCCCGTTGGGGACGTGGTACCAAAAAATGGAGGAGCTGAGAGCTCTGGAAGAGCTCTCCCTGCTGGCAGAGGGGAGGACCCAGACGTACATGACGGTCTGGACACACTGGATACTGACCTCGACTAACGCTGACTTCCAGGATCTGCTGACGTGTATGAAGACACCTGACGAGACAAACGACCACCTTGATTGAGAGAGTGACTACACAAACAAACAGGAAAAATACCAGAATCAACATCATAATAAATAAAACACCCCCTCCCCCTCTCTCCCCCCCATCCCTCCCCCTCATCCATCCCCCCCCTGGGGGAACCCGCGGGCGGGAAGGCGACACAGTAGAGAAGTTCATAAGACGTAGAGGCTCCGGACGGACGGGCACCCTCTAAGCAAAGAAAGGAAGAGAGGGAAAAGATAAGGGTAGCAAAGGGGGAAGGAAAAGAACAGGAAGGGGAAAGCCAAGAGTAAAAAGAGAGAAAAAGAAAGGAGGGAAAAGAAAGGGAAAGGTGTAAGGAAGACAAGAAGGAAGGAGAAAAGAGAATCAGACAGGAAAAACAGGAAAAGGGACAGGGGTTCACAGTTAAGGATAAGACAAGGAGAAACAAGCCTAACTTTGCACCCACGCCAAACGCGGGAGTTAATGAGCAGACAGGAATAAGACGGTACAAACCACCTCCACCCCAGCCAGATTAACAGGGGTATACCCCACCGTCACCAAAGATCCGAGAACTGAACTCGCAAGGCACACACAACACCCGGCTTCTCCCCCATACGGTTGGTCATTACACACCACCTGCCTAGACACAAGACACCAACCACCTTTGTCACACTGGGTGACTTAGTATAGCCACAACAACCGTACGATAGAGGGAAAACCCCATCCACACAAAGGTTTTTAGGACCTATGAGCCCAACTAGTAGGCGTCTTTAAACTGTTTGATGACTTGCATGTCACTATGCTGTTCACTATAACTATCTCATGTCTGAGACATGAACTGAAAAAGCCTTTTTTTGGACCTGCGTGTCCGCGACAATGTTTTATGCATAAAATGAAAATTCCTTGAATAAAAGAAATTTACAAAAAAAATAAATAAAAAATGATAAGCTTAGAGTCATGTCTACAAATGCTCGCAATTTAGGGAACAAGATCCACGAACTTGTGGCAATAATGGCAACTGATAGTGTAGATTTAGTCGCTGTTACTGAGACATGGTATAATGAGAGATATGACTGGGACATAGCAATACCAGGGTACTCTTTATATAGAAAAGGCAGGGAAGGCAAGAAAGGGGGAGGGGTGGCCCTGTATGTGAAGGATAGCATAACATCTAGCATAATAAAAGTTAGTGAGGCGAACATAGAGTCCGTTTGGGTTACGTTAGAATTTGGTAATCACCCAAATGGGAGACTGCCGTGGGGGAAACATTTACCGAGACCCAGTGGCACAAGATCTACGATCTAGTGCACCACTGCGCAATCGCGAGCAAAACCCAGGAAACTGCCTACAAGGTTCTCACACAATGGTACCTGACCCCAGAACGCTTACAGAGAATGCACTTGGACGCGGATGGCCTCTGCTGGAGGTGCAAGAGAGGGGTGGGATCCTTTCTTCACATATGGTGGGAATGCCCACTTATAGTACCGTTCTGGGAGCAAATAGCTGCCATGGTGGCCATGTTCACGGACAATGTTCACCCTTCCGGCCCGCCCCATACCTCCTACACCACACAACAACCCCCACATCACGCTACAAACGCTCCCTGACCATCCGAATCCTTAACGTCGCAAAACACCTAATACCTTTGTACTGGAAAAAAGACACGACCCCAACACTCTCCCTGTGGTTTACTAGAATGGAGGAGTTACGAGTCACAGAGGAGATCTGGTATTCAGCCCAAGACCGAACGCAGACATACTCAGACACATGGACACCCTGGTTGGCACGGGTGGGTACAGAGGCATTTCGGACGATGCAATTGACCAGGGGGGAGGGAACCGATGGTCCCCAGGAGGAGACGCTGGGAGACTAGCGGGACGATCCACACCTGGCCCAAAACGCGATACCTCACCCCCCTATCGGAGCGGGGGGCGGCACGGGGGAGGGCCACGACACCTGCTAGGGTGCGACCACTTGCGGGGCTCGGGGCGGACTGCGGCCTCGCGAGTAAAGGGGGTGGAAGAGCGCCTGTTTTGTGAGCTATAAAGCTCATTAGTTAGGAGGGAGTCGCAGGATGCCCCTTAGGTTATTCCCACCAACACCACCTATGCCGCTGGGCAGAACCAAATTATACTACGGCAGGGGGCCAACACCCCACAATAAGGCCAGGTTGGACCCTGGACACAAGGTCACTGGGGGGCTGCACACCACATGGCCACATGTCTCACTACTGCCTAGAGGTGACTGGGTAGGCATGGGGAATAGACAAACAAAACCACGGTGGGGCATGCAAAACCACCCAACGTAGAAATGGTATATATCAAATATAACAGAGTACTAAGCACCACCGGACCTGCGAGTCCACAATACACATGCTATTTACTCAAGAAAGCGACCTGCGAGTCGCCCAGACACGTATGTCATCACATGCCTTCCGATGTATAAGCTTCTGTGAATGACCAGAGGGACCTGCGAGTCCATGTTTCTCTTTGACATGTTGCAAAATTGACAAAAACGAAAAGGTTTAATAAAAAGATATTTACAAAAAAAAAAAAAAAAGAATTTGGTAATCACACAGTAACTTGTGTAGGTGTGATTTATAGGCCCGTAGGACAAATTGAAGAGTTAGATAATCTACTAGTTGAGGAAATAGCTAAAATGACAATGAAGGGGGAAGTTGTCATCATGGGTGACTTTAATCTTCCTGATGTGAATTGGAAAACAAAAATAGCTGCTTGTGCCAGGAGCACACATATTCTAAACTCCCTACTGGGATTGTCTCTAAAACAAGTCGTTGAGGAGCCAACTCGTAAAGAGGCCATACTAGATTTAGTGTTAACAAATGGAGATTTGGTATCAGATATTACTGTAGGTGAAAGTTTAGGATCCAGTGATCATCAGTCAGTGTGGTTTAATATAAGAACATTGACCGAGTCACACCACACAAAAACAAAAGTTTTAGACTTTAGAAAAACAGACTTTTCTAAAATTAGAATATGTGTAAATGAGTCATTATCAGACTGGAGCAATTTAAATGGAGTCCAAGAGAAATGGGATTATTTAAAAGTTGCACTACCAAAGGCAACAGAAAATTGCATTAGGCTTGTCAGTAAAAGCAAAAAAATTCAAGAAACCACTGTGGTACTCCGCAGATGAGGCCAAAATAGTAAAAAACAAAAAGTTAGCATTTAGTAATTATAAAAAAAAACAGAGTGAGGAAGACCGAATGATCTATAAGATTAGGCAGAAAGAGGCTAAGCAAGTTATAAGAGCTTCCAAAGCACACACAGAAGAGAAAATAATACCGTCAGTAAAAAAGGGGGACAAAACATTTTTTAGATACATAAATGAGAAAAGAAAAGTAAAACAAGGATTAGTTAGATTAAAAACAAAAGAAGGAAGATATGTAGAAGAGGATAAAGGTCTAGCTGACTGCCTCAATTAATATTTTGTTTGCTATTTACAGATGAAAATTAAGGAAAGGGACCTCAGTTAAGAAAAAGCATAAATGAGTCATTTATTACACGTGAGTTTACAGAGGAAGAGGTTCTATTTCAACTGTCAAAAGTAAAGACAAATAAGTTAATGGGACCTAATGGAATACACCCAAAGCTGTTAAAAGAGCTTGGTGGTGTACTAGCAAAACCATTAACAAGAAAGGTAATAGGGAGGAGTCGGGCAACTATAGGCCAGTAAGCCTTACTTCAGTAGTGGGGAAAGTGATGGAAACCATGTTAAAGGATAGGATTGTTGAACATCTAAAAACACATGGATTTCAAGATCAGAGACAACATGGGTTTACTTCAGGGAGATCATGTCAAACTAATCTTATTGATTTTTTTGATTGGGTAACTAGAATTACAGATCAGGGTGGTGCAGTAGACATTGCTTACCTAGATTTCAGTAAGGCTTTTGACACTGTTGCACATAGAAGGCTTATCAATAAACTGCAATCTTTAAGTTTGGATTCCAATATTGTTGAATGGGTAAGGCAGTGGCTGAGTAACAGGCATCAGAGGGTTGTAGTCAATGGAGTATATTCAAAGCTTGGGCTTGTCACCAGTGGGGTACCTCAGGGATCTGTACTTGGACCCATTCTCTTTAATATTTTTATTAGTGATATTGCAGAAGGTCTTGATGGTAAGGTATGTCTGTTTGCTGATGATACTAAGATAAATAACAGGGTTGATGTTCCAGGAGGGATAAGCCAAATGGCAAATGATTTAGGTAAGCTAGAAAAATGGTCAGAGTTGTGGCAACTGACATTTAATGTGGATAAGTGCAAAATAATGCATCTTGGACGTAAAGTACAGAATATTTGATAGAGTTCTAACCTCAACATCTGAGGAAAGGGATTTAGGGGTGATTATTTCTGATGACTTAAAGGTAGGCAGACAATGTAATAGAGCAGCAGGAAATGCTAGTAGAATGCTTAGTTGTATAGGGAGAGGTATTAGCAGTAGAAAGAGTGAAGTGCTCATGCCATCGTACAGAACACCAGTGAAACCTCACTTGGAGTATTGTACGCAGTACTGGAGACCGTATCTTCAGAAGGATATTGATACCTTAGAGAGAGTTCAGAGAAGGTCTACTAAACTGGTTTATGGATTGCAGGATAAAACTTACCAGGAAAGGTTAAAGGATCTTAACATGTATAGCTTGGAGGAAAGACGAGACAGGGGGGATATATTAGAAACATTTAAATACATAAAGGGAATCAACACAGTAAAGATGGAGACTATATTTAAAAGAAGAAAAACTACCACAACAAGAGGACATAGTCTTAAATTAGAGGGACAAAGGTTTAAAAATAATATCAGGAAGTATTACTTGACTGAAAGGGTAGTGGATGCATGGAATAGCCTTCCAGCTGAAGTGTTAGAGGTTAACACAGTAAAGGAGTTTAACCCCTTAAGGACCAAACTTCTGGAATAAAAGGGAATCATGACATGTCACACATGTCATGTGTCTTTAAGGGGTTAAGCATGCGTGGGATAGGCATAAGGCTATCCTAACTATAAGATAAGGCCAGGGACTAATGAAAGTAATTCGAAAATTGGG